CCAATGCCAGCCTCTGCCATAAGTCACCTCCAGACATAACAGCAATTTGGGGTAAAACTCTTTTGCAGACTTCATTCCTTGAAGGCTCAGATCTGTCCTATGCAGGTGGCACACAAACCACCATTTTAGACTCACACATGAAGACTTTAACTCCTCCTGCTCACCTGCAGCCATGGCACAGTGTGCCAGATGCCTCCGTGAGGTTTTGTTATGGTTAACCAGAAACTGAATTAGGCTGCATCCAAAGAGACAGCGCGACGTTGCTAGGCGATGCTGTCTGGCTGAAAGGAGCCGACAGTCACAGAGTTACTGATCTGCTCAGGGTGCAGCGATAAGGTTATCTAATTCTGCACGTGGGACTGGGGTAAATTTGCACTAAGTATGATTTCAGACAGAGAGGTTGAGAAGGCTTGGGTTTGGCTGCTGCTGAGGCTTCTCCAATGCACCAACAGCCGTGGCCAAGGCAAATCCTAACTGCTGGAGTCCCACTGCATGGGCACATGCAGCCCCCATAGAGCCCCAGCCAGGGGGCAGGAAACCATACACACACCATCCTATAAGTCTATCTTTTTTAACATCCTTCATTTTCCCGTGCTTAGTGGGACAAGAGGGCAAAACCAAAGCACAGCCTTCACACTGCCTAAAAGCTAAACCCCCTTCCTCTGCCAGGACAGCCCCCAGCGCCCCCCTAGCCCACTATGAGCCCCAGCACAGCACTGGGGCCTCCAGCTGCCGAGGAAGCAGGAACGCACCCGCCGCTGCCTCACAGGATCTTGGCGTGTAGCAGCAATTGGCACGGAGTCATCTTTATCAGCTCGCACATTAATCTTAATTAGCAGATCGACAGCAACAGTTCCTCCCTGCAGCTCCCCCGAGCATTCGCAGCGCTCGCTGCCTCTCACAGCGCTCGCTGCCTCGCAGCAGCAGGGACTCATCCTCATCTGCCTGGGGCGAGGGCACCCTGCTGCCTCTGGGATCCCCCGCTTCTTTTGGGCTGAAGATGCACTGGGGTTCAGGCAAAGAGGTTTCCTTCGGACGTTGCCTTCTGAATGCGCTGACTTGAGTGTTTTTCCAGCACAGAGAGGGAAAAGCCTGTTTCAGCTGAAATACCGGGGCTTTAAAAATTAGTTGCTGTTCATGTGCAGTAGCTCTTGTTATTAAAAACATCATAAAAGTTTTACTGTGCTGACTTAGGGTGCACGTAAAGAATTGAGTTTGTCTTGACAGACCGTAAAGGAGCATTTATGACCTATGGGGTCAATGATTTGCGAGGCAGGATTTAGCCAGCAGCGGGCAGGGATGTGGCACAGCAGGAAGAGTGCTGAGAGGTTCCCCATGGGGTTGTGCTGGAGAATGGGGGAGACGTGCAGTGTGACATCGCACAGCAGCAGACCTGGGTGTCACACAGCTGCGCTGAGGCAGGGGACACAGCATTACGTGATGATGGGCCTTTATCACTTTGGGGTCAAGAGGGGCACTTCAGCCGAAAAGTTCCCAGTGCAGCAGCTCAGAGCTAAAGCTGAACTCTCAGTTGTGCAGTCATTTTATTCTCTGTTGCAAGGCGCTGGGAAAACAACAGCTCCACTGCTCAGCTCAGTGTGCTGTGTGGGGTACAACACAGGAGAGGGCTCAGAGCCATTCTGTTAGGCCTGCCTGGACAGGCTCAAACTGCCCAAGGGAAGCCATGCTATGCTGGGGACTTTGCAGCAAAGCCATTTCCCTTCAGCAGTGCTCACTGCCCTTTACAAACCAGGGCAGAGCATCACTGTTGCAACATAAGCGCTGCTTATATCCCAGTGCACAATGCTCCTTCAGCCGTAGAGATTTGGGAAGGCACCCCATCCCCTGCGTGAGTGACAGAAGATCCCCTGGAGAAGAGAACCCCCGAACTTGGGGCCAGGAAGCAGCAGAGCACTCTGCATGTTTGCCTTCCCAAAGCTGTTTCCTCCAGTTCTTGCCATCCAGACAGACAGAACCAGCTTTGCTACACACATGGCAACCAAATGAAACGGTTTCTTTAGCAACAACAACCAAAGCACAGAAAAATTTTGCTTTCTCCCTCCCGTGACTTCAGCAGCCCAGGTAACGCAGAGAAACTCCACGTGTCAGAGTTAAATGACCGCCTGCAGTGGGAACCAGACGTGCAACCCAGCGTGTGCTGCACTGTTATTTATTTATTTGAGGTCTGATTGATTTAAAGACTCCCCCTCACCCGAGCAGCATCATGGCACCATAACTCACAGCAGCTCTGATTTATGGTCTGCGTTGGAGTGATGCCGGCCGCTTCTGCCTGGCACAGGGCTGTGCCTCACTCCCTTCTTCTCATCACAGGGATCATTGCAGGGAGCAGAGTTAGGAACTGTTGTTCCCTGCACTGCTGTTTCCTGTGCTGCTTCCCCTTTGGAAATGCCCCATAGGATGAAGGAGGATAAAAATAGCAGCAACCAGTGCAAGAGAGCTCCTCAGAAGGAGCTGTAATCATACAGAGCCAGATTCTGAGCTCCAGGTCACAGCACACAAACCACCAGTTGGTTGCCTTTAAAGCAGCACTGAATGAGGTCTGTCTCATGACTTCAGGGGATGGAGTCCTTCCTGAGATTTAGAAGATCCATATTCTCCTGCTCTGTTATTTTATATCACCTTCTCCTGGATGGCCTCATTAAACCAGAGGCCCCTCCCTGCCCCGTTATGAGGGCCCCTTTCCCTGGTAGGAATGTTATTTGTGCTGCACAAAGAATTTACCAACTGCCTTTATAGCCCTCCCTGCACTAAATCACACTCCTAATGGATTGCCTGAGGTAAGTGCACCACTGTTTATTGTATTATTTTTTTTAAATCCATTTAATGGCTGGGTCACACACAGCAGAGCTGCCGGGCTGATCTCCGCCTCCTGCTGCGACAAATGGGACGTTCTCTGGGGCTCCCCAACCCTCACCCTGGGCTGAAGCACGAGCAGCAGCCCCAGGTAAGCAGCCTTTGCCACGTGCATCCCATACGGCAACGTGACTTCCACGCTTCTCAAGTCTGGAAGGTGCGTGTTTCTTCTGCCATTTGCACAGAGCTCCGAGGCACGGCAATCCTCCTCCAGCCCCAGCCAGCTCTAGGAGCTGTGACAGATTAATGCTTCCTAAAAGCTCCTGATGTGCTCTTATCAGTGTGTGCTACGCTGGGAATTTCGCTGGGAATTTCACGGTGTTGAGGCGAAGGCTGTTGGCATTACACGGCTCGCATGGTGCTGACTCACCTGCTGGCACTGACACGGGGCTGAGCTGGGAGAGCAGAGCAGGGCAGACCTCTGCTCTGCAGACTTTTGGTATGTAACGTGGAGATGTAAGGACGAGATGATCTGTGCTCTGGAGCATCATCTTCTGCAAATTGGAAGAGCATTTGCACCTCCAAATGCTAAAGAAGAAGTTGAGGAAGGAATATGGCTACGGGTGATAGAAAATCATGACATTTTCAAGGTAGTGGAAATAGCCAATAATCGTGGTGGGAGCTTCCTCTTGGTATCTAGATAGAGACATGCAGCACAGGGAATAACACCATTATTTTCTAGCCTCATACTGTATGAAGACCAGTGTTATATACAGATTCCTCTGTGCCATCATGAGTTTCCATCTTATTCCATAAACAGGATCATTACACAGGTATGGCTTGTAATGGTTTGGATTCAGGATTTCTATGACAGCCATTTGGTGCTACTGATGATTTCAGTGTACACCTTGTTCTTTGCAGAGACGCAAACAAGCAATGAGAAAGCACAGCAAGCAGTTCCAGCACATTTCTATCAGACAGGTGTGGGCAGGATCAGCATTGGCCTCAACCCTGCCTAGAAAAGGGCTCCCTGCAGTACCAAGCAGTCATCCGTAGAATCGTATAATATAACCTGCTGTGTGCAGGTCGCCAACCAGCAGACCAGGCTGCCCAGAGCCTCATCCAGCCTGGCCTTGAATGCCTCCAGGGATGGGGCATCCACAACCTCCTTGGGCAACCTGTTCCAGTGCCTCACCACCCTGTGTGTGAAAAACTTCCTTCCATCAAACCCAAAGCCAACAAAAGGGCCTCACTGCACCACCCAGCAGCAAAGTGGCACAACAGGTGAGTCTTGGACACGTGGACACGGTCAGCCCAAGCGTTCCCCACCTCTGCCCACAGCATCCCTCAGCTCGCCTCCTCACTGCTCTGCTGCTCAGGCAGTCTGTGCCACCCGCGCTGCTCGAGCCGTACCAGCACTGCCTGTCCCACCATCACCAGCTGCTCACGGCCGCACCACACAGCGCCTTTCCTGCCGCTTCTTATTCTTGGCACCCGCCGCTCTGACTTGCTTCCAGCTGAGGTTAAGGCATTCAGGAGTCTGTTTGCACAGTGTTTTTTTAATGCGACCTCTGGTTGTAACACACACTTCCCCCTGCACACACAAAAATACCCAGATTGCTCTTAGGTTAGTAACTGTCTCATATTCCCCAGCAAAAAAAGAAAAAAGACCTCTGGATAAGATTTCTTACTTTGCATTTTACCAATCACTTGGTTCCCATATTTCAACTTCGTATTTGGATTTGAATGGTCACAAAATGCCTCCAGCCGGGGAACATCAGCCTGTTTCCCAGCAGAGGATCAAACTACTGCTTGCAAAGTAACAGTACTTCTATGCACCAAAAATACAGTTAGACCCTCAATTATGTTTAAGTTCCATTAATCCCACTCATGGGAATTCGTTAGTGCACGGCAACCAGAGGAGCTCCCAGGGGCTCTCGCCAACACCTCCTGCACGGAGCTTCACTGCTTCCATGGCCACAGCACAGGGAAAACGTCACAGGAAGAGGACCCCAGTTCTGCAGCCACCACCACAAACCCCAAACCCTACCCTCAGGAACATGGCAGATTCACAGTCGTGGCTCTGCAGAACTGCGGTGCTCCAGTGACAGCTCGAAGGGAAGACAAAGTGCTTCCCTGTTACCAAACAGTGGCATCTCCCAAAAAAGAGAGCTTTCAGATGGAAGTAAATTTTACTATTTTATTTGTGAAAAAACTACAAGCAGAATTCATAAATAGACATTTCTATTTAAAGCAGGAAAATGATAAAGTGGCTTCTAATAACAGTCGTGCACATGCCAGTAACAGGAATATATTAACATCTTTTATTTGCTAGACAAAGAGCAGTGTCCAATATAAATTTCTCGAAAACATTTAAGACCTGTGAATTTCTGACCAGTTCACAAAACCACCATTGACACTTTAGCATGAAGATTAAAACAAACCTAACAGGACTGTCAGCTCTAAAGACTTTACAGAGCGGAAAAACTTTCAGAAGCGTTATACAAGCTGTCTTTCTGGGCAAATGAAAAATATAGCTCGTATAATACATTAACATAAAAATCCACAAGATAAGATTATGTTTTGACATACTTAAACAAGCATTCTATATTTGTCTCCAACAAACAAAGCTAAGGAAATAATGTAACCATCTTTACACAGTAAATTAAGGTTACAAGTCATACACAAGAACAGAACTGCTTGCGCATTAAAAACTGTTCAGCTCCATTGTCATACTCTAAATGTTGGCTCTTAAAACCATTCGGTTACATACAAGCAAAGGTTATTATATAGTCAGCAATTAATAAGTTTTCAATAATTTAAGTTTATGGTAGAGCTTAAAAAAGTAGACTGAGAATGATCTTGGTAAGGCAGGTGAAAAATCTCAGTGGAAATAAACTCATGGAAGCTACCGCCACATTTTAGATCTGTCCAATTTGAGACCAGCCAAGTATTCCAATTAAAATAAATAGTCTGTTTGCCTGAAATGCTTTTGGATTCTTCCTTTGCATAACTACGTTAAACTGAGTTGGGCAAGCTGTGTTGGTATGTGTGTGTCTGTGCCAAATTGAAACTTAGCAAACGTAACACTGTGCTTTACTTACCTGCTTCTGTGCCACTGAACGCCCAGAGCCCGGTCCTTCCTCTAGACTAGTGTTTTGTTGGCTTGGTTGTTAGCCACGCTCCCCAACAACAGCAGGAAACCTACGGACGCAGTGTGAACAGAATCCCATTTCTGGACGCGTGCCTTGGGGCGCTGAGCTCAGAAACCAAGTGCAGAAGTGAATGCTGTCCTTCAAACCCACGGCACAACGAGGCCAGCTGAGCTGGATGCTTTGCTAGCAGTTCCTACCAAATGCAGAATTACAAGTCACTCGTCCCAAAGACATTTTCCCACTTATTTACAGTAAGCTGCTTTATCAAGGAGGCACACCCAAAACCAGATTTTGCTTCCTGAACCAGTAGCCGATGAGTAGCCGGGTACCGCGTTAAAGCTCATCTACAGGTCCATCCATTTGAGAAAGAAGCCATTTCCTGGTACACACAATGCTTTTTTTTGCACCAATTCCCAGATTCAACAACGAGTGGGAGCACACGGCTGACTTGAAGCACCAGGAAGAGCCCCACTGGAGGGACGTGCCGTGCGCTCGCACGCGCTGCCGGATCATGGGCACCATGCGCGCAAGCCTAATCGATAATGGATCGTTTATAAAGCAGTGCAAAATATACAAGTTCGGGGGCATCTTCAAAAAATCTCTCTTAAAAAATTATTCCAATACATTTCAGTAAAATAAATAAATATGGCTGACCAGTTTACCCTCCCTGAGACCCTTAAAGGAATAGTAAAAACTGGAAAAGGAATGTCTTTGCAATATCCCACTAATGTTAAAACGTGGATTGAGAAATTCATAGTATTTAAAACTATGTATAAGAAATTGTCTTGATGCTCATAGGAAGCATCCGGTTTTCCTTTGGTTCTTTAATAAATACTTTAAAAATGCTTAAAAAGGTAAAGACGGCCTACACCGCGGGTATCAGCAGAGTTACACTGGGGTGCCCATAGGAACGCACTGGGGACACCGCCACCAAGGCACTGCCACCGCGTGCAACCTGGGGCAGAGGCTGGGAAGGAGCGGTGGCACCGCACGGCTTTCTGTCGCTGTGTGAAAGGAACCTACACCTGCTACTCACAACCACTCTGATCTTAAAGGAAAGGTTACACCAGTTGCCTCCATAAAGAGAAACGCCTCTTGCTGAGCAAATAATTCACAATGTAACAGCCGGCACGGAGTTGTCAAACAAGAAAAAAAAAAGTGGCACTCTTTCATCACACCCCAAAGTTACTCATCAATGTTGACCAAAGCCACCGCCTCTGTGCCTGAAATTACTACAAAGCACTCTGGGGCCACTAAACAAAGAAAAAAAAAAAGCAAAAGAGGTTTTTTTTCTACCTCTTCAGACTAGTGTTTTAGCAGGATAATGCATGGAAGGTAAACTGTAAAGCAACACTAACAGGCCAGGAAAATGACAGCCTGAATACATCAGAGCACAAAGGAAGGAGGCGCTGGTCACAAGCAGTGCCCAGCACCAAAGTTTTTCACTGCTTCTGCAGCAGGATACCAGGAGCATCTGCTGCCACATGCCTAACACCCCCGCTGGGTGCTGCTCAGCTGCTCTGGAGTACAGCTGGAATTGTGCTGAACAGCAATCACACAGCACAGGACATGGAGCTGATGGCACCCAAGCATATGCTGCAGTGAGAAACAACCCCACAGCACTGCTGCCTGAAATCCCAAGCACAACTCCAGTTCTAGAGCTACCTCAGTTATTGATGCAGGTTTGAAAAACAGCCAAAATTCATTAAACCTAAGAATGCTGAACTTCTGTGGGATTGGCTATGCATGATACAGGGATGCTCGCGTTACCAAAGCACGTGGATTGGGGTGTGCTGACACCAGCCTGGCTCTGAGCACTCATGCCCCAGTTGGACACAACCCTGCAAAGTGCCGAGCCGAGTCACTCCAGTGCAAACACGAGCTGCCCCGGAGCGATCCTCTGATTTCACATCCCAAGGTATAAAAATCCAAACTGTGTTCAGTACACTGTAGCCATTGCTTAGGGAAGAAATGGGGAAGGAACAAGTCAAGAAAACGGGTCCTGTCTAGGTTCAAACCTCCAGGAACACTCCTCACCTACGACCAGTTCCATTTCAGCTTCAGCACTTTCACAGAAGGGGACTGTCTCAGATCTCTAACTGCTCAATATTTTGTTTTCACTTCACAGTGTTTCAAGCACCAGCGTTTCCATGTATTGGTTTCAAATAACCCTTTATATATATTTATTTATATATATATTTATATATAATTTATATCAAAACTGATAGTACACAGTATAACTGGAAGAAGAACTGAACTTAAAAAGGATATGTTGAGAGAGGATGGAGTCTGTGAATGCAATAAATAAAGCCCCCTTCCCTCCCCACCCGCTCCCTATCCCAAAACAAAAGTCGTAACGTTCATGGAAAATTGTGCACAGCAGATATTATAAAAAGTAGATTCAGGAGCACATCCAATTATAAATGATTGTTAGGAAAATCATATAAAACAATGGAATACATAAAAGTGTCAAGAGTAATCATTAGGGTGAGAAATTCCTTGGTAGCCAGATGCCCACGGCAAGCAGAAATTATCCTGGTTGCATCAGTAAGAGGTCGATGTCCAAGGAAGTGTGTTCAAGCACAGAAGAGGCTCTCCAGGATGTGAGCAGCGTGGGCAGGTGGAGTGTTTGAATTTCATACCCTGATTCATAGTTTCCACAACTCCATGTGCAACTTTCAGAAAGATTCATCATTGACTGCTGACATGTCCCCCTTTGGCGTGGAGGAGCGGGACGAGCCCTTGTCTGTGCTCTCAGAGCCCGAGCTGCTCTGATTTTGTTGTTCTGAGCCTGCACTGGAGGTCACTGTAGAAGATGACGTGGAAGAGGAGCGAGTCTTTTCCTTAAAGTCTGTGATAATTACCGTGACGTTTCCCACTGTGACTGCCAGCTGTTGTGCAGTACTTCTGTCCACATTTTTCAGTCTGGGTCTAGAATAAATGAGAAAACGTTTATGAACAAAATGAAAACAAATGAGAAAGTAAGAGTTTATTAGAAAAAACAAAACAAAACAAAACAGCATTCAACAAGTTTGGTGGCCTTCCTTCCACTTGCCTGCACAGACTGTAATAACTGGGAAGAGAACCCAGGCAGCAGCAAAAGCTGCGCAGCAGAGGACACAGGTCTGACCTCCTGTTCCCTGCAGCAGGGTTTTCCATCCCAGGGGGAAGACCTGTCATGTAGAGCAAACGGTGCCATGCTGCTGACAGTTATCTTCAACCATCTCTGCCAGAAAGCAGGACACTAAACCAGAGCCAGGCAGACAGAAGCCAGGGAGACCCAGGGATCTCCTCCCTAAAGGGAGGGATGAAAGGGTTCTGTTATCTAAATTCTCCATCTCCCCATGCTCCCTGATGTTATGAGACAAGGCTGTGACTCCACAGTACAAAGCCACATTAAAGCAGTTGAACACTGCTCTTTCATTCCCATATTGGAGCTTTGCAGCTGCAAACAACACGGGCACTGGGACAACTTGGCTCCTCTTCCAACGGCTTCAAGCTTCTACAAATCAGATGCCCAATCAGCCTGTGTGTGAAATCGCTCAGAACATTCCCTCTGGAAACAAAGAGATTGGAAATAACATCCAGAACACACAATAACATTTCTTGCAGCTAGCTCTTTGGGTTAGAGGAAAAAAAACAACAATAGAAAAGAAACTGATATTTATAGCTTAGGATTATCTCAGTAATTTGCATGCTGTGCTATCTTTCAATTAGTAATGCAGCTAATAAGGGTCTAGACTCTAGGAAGCTGACATCCACGTGTGCCTCAGGGGCTGGTCCAAAGCTCTGATACAAGAAACCTTGGACACTCCTCCAGCTGCCAACCAATTCCAAGTCAGCTTCAGCAACTGCTGCAATTTACTGCTTTTCCTCCTAATTAAAGGTCAGACTTAAGCAGTGGAATATTCTCAGTAGGGAAATTAAAAAGGAGAGTCTTTATACTTCAGTGAAAAGTAGCTTGCTGAGAACTGCCTTATTCCAAGAGATGGAGGGAAGGATAGCTGCAGCTTTTAAACCAATTTTCTCTTTGTCTGCAGCATATTAGGCTAATGCAGCCTAAACAAAAAAGAAAATTAAGCTGATTTTGTATTTGCCATGTATACTCGTTGGCTCGCAGTGCTAAGTTAACAAGAAGGAAGTCCTTAAAAAGTTAATCCACGTGGTATTCCAGAACTAGACAGAATAGAAAGAAGCATTAAGGATGAATGTACAGCTTCAGGGATAGACAACTGTACTGCTGCAGACTTCCTTAACAAAAATGAAGCTGCTACAGCACAAGCAGTATTTTCATATCAAACCGAGAAGGTGTTTCATACAACAAGTTGTATGTTTCTAACAAGTACAGCAGGAGCAACAATTCTAATAGCTTTGGAACACAACCAGAATGCTAACCACACAGAAATACCCACGGGTAAAACTTCCCAGTCTTCTCCACCCGGCAGCAATGAGACGCACGCCCACATGCACGCGTTGCACATACACACTTGCTAGAGTGAGCAAGTGTAACGTAACCACAGACCAGATGAGATGATGTCACCTCATTTGTGGGTGACAAGGAAGGGCAGCCAGCTCAGCAACTTCTGGGGTTTCCGTCAGCTTTTGATAACATCTCAGATGAGCGCTGCCCCAAAGCATCAGCACTGAATGCAGTGGTAAACGTTCCCGGAAGCATAGTACACGTACGTATTTTCCTCCTCAAACCCTGAGTTCCTCTAGGAAACCCAGCTCTTCCTGTAATTGGGCTGGGGCAGTTGTTTTCTCTCTTACTCAGCCCAAGAAATGCTGGCCCAGATAAACAGACCTTGCCGCCTCCACCTCCTGACAGCACCAAACACTCTTGCTGCAGCTTCTCCAAAGCCACCACTGACCAAACACACTGATGCTCCGCATCCTCTTTTATAGCTGAAAAAGTTTACAGCCAAGTAAGAAATGCAATTCAAAACAAAGAGTGCAGGACAATGCAGAATTAAACAAAGGTTCTGTCAGAAATAAGCATGGAACCAGGAGTTCAAACAGGACTCCTTCAGACAGTTACCAAAAAATGCTAAGGAACTTGGGCACGAAAACCAATAAAACAGGTAACCTGGAACTCCGTAAAAATCAGGGCCTTGAAAAGATGACTGACAATTGCTCTTGAGGGCACTGAGCTGTAAGCTGGGTTCCACTTAAGCACTTTGAAAGAGAGTTTAATATTCAAAGGAGATTATGTATCCCCTTAAAAATAGTCCAGGTAGACCTGATACTACTAAGGATTAATTAGAAATGACAAAGTCTTGTCACAAAACATAACTCTGCAGTCGACAGAATGACTCCTTTAAGGAGTGAAAACAATTATTTGATGCAATCTATCAACATAACATTATCTCATTAATCAAGTGCATTGAGACTCGTGCATCCTAAGCTTTGAAGGAAGCACTATTTCGAACAGAACAAGAAAAAAAGAAAAATCACTGCAATAAAGCTGTACTTCTACAACCAGCCCAAGAATACAGCCTTAAATCTTTGGGCATTGAGGAAGACAGTTGGCAGGAGTCACCACAAACAGCTCTGTCTTCTCGTTCTAGCACAACAAATCTCACAACACCTTTCCTACATTCAAATGAATTACTCTATAGAGGACAGCCACTGTTCAACATTTTCATTCTATTATTTACAGTCTTCCAAGACAGTTTTCTGCAGCCACGTCTTGCCAATCTTAATGCCAATACAACAGTGGAAATCATACTTCCCATGTACATCATGACTGTTTGCAGCTAACTAACGTTGCCTCGGTTCACGAAGCTTCACCACAGCGGCTCTTCAAGAACATAAAACCTATGATTCCCAATTTTTGATTTATGAAGTAGAGCACAAGACACTACTTAAGGAAAACAAGCACGGAGTATCAGTGTAGGCAAGACTAGGATCAAACCTCCCTCCAAAAACAGCTGCTCATTTCAGATAGGTGAACAAAACCAACCACTCATGGTTTTTGCTGATAGCAAGATTCCAACAAATCTGCTCACACAGCCTCAACTCCAGCACACTCAGGGAATTACCTGACAATTACCGTGACTTAATTACAGGTAAGGAAATAAAAAAAGTAAGCCTTCATTACTGGTATCAAATGGTGGCAAGAATTTGACCAAGATCAGTACAATGACTGATGAATTGAGTCCAGCCAAGACACATTATGCCCGAGTGTCATATGATTTAAGCAATGAAATGAGAACTGAGTGGCTAACAGAACAAGTATTTCCAATGCTTGAATCTGTCCTCACCAGAAGAGTGTTTGAGAGCTTACACATGCACAGCCAAGGAAGGTCTTGTCATACTGACTGTACCAGAGCCTGTCCTTTAGACAGTACTGTCAGCCCACCAAAAGAGCAGTGTCTGCTATGTAATACAATTCTCAAATATTTAGAGCTTAATGTTGTCCATAAAGTTACCTTGAAGTGTGATTTGAGTCGCTTGTCTTTGTTGTAGTATTCCCAGACTGTATGCTGTTTGCTTCACTAGGAGGATCTTTCACAATATCTGACTTTGGTCTGTAAGAATGGGAAGGAGGAGGGGAGATTGTGTTAGATTAACATTCAAATCAATCAACCGATGCACAGCACTGCTGAAGTCACACCACATTTAACACTGCATCCTTGAAACTTACTTAGTCTTCTTATTAGTGTTCTTCTTTGTGACGCTGGGACTGATTTCCTTCTCTTTGTCAGGTTTTTCTTTATCTTGTTTTTCCACTTTCTCTTTCTTCTCCTTCTTGGGTGGTGGTGGGGTTGCATACTGCTGGGCAACTTGCTGTGCCACCAACTGCGAGTTTATCCTAGGTTTTCTACAATGGTAATAGAGAGATCTGTAGTCAGACTTTATAAAGCAACAATTACTTTACAGAAAGCACTGCAAAGATTTATTTCGGCAACTGGGGAAGAATACCTCACTTAAGAAATACCACGTGGATGCCCTCATTTCATGTTGAGTACTACTGTTGCTACCAAACAAGACACAAGTGTTCAAATTAAGAAATGCTCCCAACTGCTGTTCCACCATGTTCAGCCTCATCTAATACTCTTAAGTATAATGCTCCCTTTCTCCCACCCATTTCATGAAAACACAGCCCAAATTTAGACAACAGTGAAAAGCAGCTTCCAAGAAGTTGCCAACCACACTGCATGGGCTACTCTTCAACAGAAGGAACAGAGGTAAAGACAAAAGTCAGTTCCCTGATAAATACCAGGCTCCAGCTGTATTTTTTCAAATGAGTTTCTGGTGCACTGATGCAGCAAGCAGTGCATGTAACAACGAACAAGAGAAGGTAACTGAGATGGCTTTGTCCCAAGCGCCAGGATTGAAATTCACAGAAAACAAACAGGCATTCAGTACCCTATGGGGAGAAAGGCTGTGCCAGCCGCCGGCACGTTGTCCTCACACCATTGTCTGAAAGCCCTGAGTGGAGCTCTGGGATATAGACATGGGTTGAAAGAGAAGCAAAAGAGTCCACTCCTCCAAATCACAGTGAGGTCCTCAGCACGGGGCAGGAGGAATGGCTGCTCACCATCACAACATGTGGCAACCCAAGGCAAGGCACCAGCTTATGCCACGACTGCCGCAAGAGCTCGAATCCGAGCAAGGACACCAAGCAGTGCACGGGTCAAACAATGCACAGCAACACAATTCACAGGCTGAAGCCAGGAAGAGAGAGGGAACACAGCACAGGTAAGCAAAATGTCTTGCAAAGACAATTTCAAAATATGATTTATACAAAAAAATAAACAAAAACCACCAAGGCATGCAAGAACCTGATGCTCCCACAGTCCCAAGTAATTCATACCTTGGTTTCTTCCGCATTCCTCAACCAAATTTTTAACTCAGCAACTTGCCAGCTCACCCTCTGGTCCAGTACAGAGCAGTATCATTACACCACAAAGACCTACACCCTCCCTGTGGCTTTGGAGAGGAAGGAAACAGAGCTGTCAAGTCTATTAGGAGCTGAACTCTAATTGCAACAGTTGTTGTTGTTCGTCCACGTTGTTACACTGCTTACAAGCCCAGCTCAAGCTTCATGCAGGTTAAGGGAAGACTCTCAAGGCAGCACACAGCTGACACCTGCACCAACTTGGGGACAGTGGGAACTATGGGGAGCCATGACCCTCACACAGCTCCCAGGTTGCTCTGCACTGCAGTTACACCACTGGCTGCTGCTGGAACCCTGACACAAACCCTATTAGTCTGATCATCACCTACATCATTAATGCTGCCCTGCTGATCACCTGGCCCCCTGGTCTTTGGTCCTGCTCAGCATTACAGGGCACAAACCCAAGGCACTTCAAGGACCCAGGGGGAACTCGTGGTTGCTGTCCTGCAAACAGGGAAGCCTGGTCAGCCCGCTCCAGCAACACGTATCACCAACCTCCAGAGCCATCTCTGGTGTGGCTACTCTTCCTGCAGATGTATGCTGAGCCACATCTACCCTAACACTTGATTTCACAACAAGTTTTTGCCAAGTCTACAGGCTGGAATTCGGGAAATCTATGTCACCACCACCACCATTTGCATTTTTCATGCAGTACAGAAACTATTGTGCAGATTGCAGCACAAAATGCATACGTTTTCTAAAGAACAAAGAATCTGGATTTCAGCCTTCAGTAAGTATGGTGTACCAGTAATTATCATGCCAGAAAGCTCTGCAGATCAGACCACACAGTTCCCTGTTCTATGCAACAGTTTACAGAACAGCAGAGGTGTTCAGCACCCTGGCACCTAGAATCCTGGTATACAGCAACTTGTGTCTGCTGACTGTGAATAAGCATGCAACAAAGCCTTCTGTTATACAGAGAAGTTACTCAGATGCAGCCACATGCAGCTGGCAGCAGCAGCTCGTCTGAAGCAACCTGCTGACCCATCACTCTTACAGGAACAGAAAATTATGACATTTTTCCTTGCCAGCAGCTAATTCAATTAAATAATAATAATAATAATAATGAAGGATGTTCGTGCATTGTTTCCTGATTTTCACTTCCTATATCTTAAAAAGTAATGTGAAAAATCTCAAGCATCAAGGAACCTTGAAAGGAAAGACGAACACCATCTCCCTGCATGATTAACCCCACAGCACAGAGCTGCCTCCCGTGCCACACTCTCAGCAATATGCTGTTTACCCACGCAGGTAAATCAGAACCTCAGGCTGTGTGTGGGCAGTCCCAGCTCAGGAACCTAAGAGCATGTCTCATGAACCTAAGAGCACTTTTCCATGTCTCCCTGTTTTTAATTCTGTCGCTGTTTGTGATGTTATTCTCAACTTTAACAGCTACTGAGGTGTACACAGTTCATGTTGCTTGAATAAAGATTTGAATTTTAAAGGGGAAATTACTTCTTTTTAATGCCTGGCCTTAGTTGATAATAGAACACAAGTCAGAACACCAGTTCAACAACTGGCATAATAGCAGTAATAGCAATAGCAGTAACCAATGCCTTGCAGTCAGACCCACAGTGCTGCCCCAGCCAGGACCTGCTGGTTACAGGCCTTCACAAGAAGCCAAACAAAGCAAGCACAACAGCATGTTTCCAGCACAGCAAGCCATAACCATAGTAACCACAACCGAAAGATGTGTATGCAGTACCCCAGCCTCGCTCCAAGCACAGCCCTGTCCTGCAGCACGCCGGCTGCTCAGCCTTCCAGGAGCAGCAGCAGCACTGTTGGGTGACAGCCCACACTGGGCACCACTCACCTTGCCTTCCTGAGTGCAAGCGATGACATAAAGCTAGTGGGAAGAACTAAGTCCTACTCCCACGAGGGCTACAACAACTTCGCATCCCTTCCAGAACATGAACTCATAAAAACAGAAGGAACCCTCTTTGCTGCCTTTTTTTTGTTGTTGTTTTCCTTCAAATTTCTTTTTCCTTTCTTTTTGAACATTACAATGTGGCTGAGTGTCCCTTATTCTGTTCCCATCTGGTACTTCTTTTTTTTTGGCACTCTCCAAAGAGAATGCTTCAACTCTAATACACCATTATTATCTCAATATAAGTTATCATTCGAGCAGAATAACCTGAACAGAAACTTAAAGCCCCTTCCAAATTTTCTGTATGACAGAGAGCCTCAGAAATGAGCATTAACCATTTTAATCCCAAATCTGCTCACCAGCTTGCTGTCTGTAACGTGAAAACAAATCATACAAACCATGAACATATTCAGGCAACAAAAATTAAACCTCATCTCAGCCTCTTCTAAACAGAACACCAATATCTATCTCATCACTTAGTCCAATGTCATCATGCACACAACACAGCTAACAAATCCCAGTCTCCACAATAAATGTCTTTGAAGAGATGCAACACTGCATAGTGGTCTCAAACACATCCAAGTTCCATGCTAGCAACAAAAAGGGCAGAATTACTGTAGTGATGCCAACAGCTGAGCATAAGAACAATTTGTTAATGTATGTGTCCAGGACAAGATGGTTTCCCTTTACCTGGCATTAAGTTAGGCCTTGCTTGGGCAATTTCCCTCTAATTACATGACAGTCTGGGTAAAAACCCAACTGTGAAGATGCAATCTTGATATGACATAAGTGAACACTGCCTGTGTTTTCAGAATCCAGTGACAAGAATTGGCTTCTTCCACCCTAAAACCAAGCACAATTAAACTATGCTTTCAAAGGTGCATTCAATCAATTGCTTCACATTAATTATAGTGTTCAACTGCAGCTGACCACAGGAGAAAGTATGTTCAGCAAAGAAATTGTGATTCATGAGAAAGCTGAACATATTTGGCTATTCAGAGTATGATTCAGGCACCCAAGTCTTCACCTCGTGCTGTGCACAAATACTCCCAGCTACCACAGAACATCTCAAGTTGTAAGGGACCCACAAGGAGCACTGAGTCACACTCCTGACTGCAGAGAGGACCACCCCACCCCTTCCCTAACAGAGCTGGGCTGTACCCTGGGACTGTCCCATTAAGTGACACCGCATGAGACCAACAGGAAGCGCCCGAAGCGCGACTCCTTCCACCAAGGGCTCCCACACGTTGCTGTGCTCCCAGAACAAGGAAGCGCCGTACTCCTAAGGTTCTGCCAAGCATCTCCCAGTGCATTTCCTTCCATATCTTCAGGTTCGCCTTTGGAAACTCGTTTCGGGGCTGAAAATAGAGCACAAGCGCTGCACGCAGATCACACCACGCGTTCAACATGTGCTATTTACTCGGAGCTGGATTTGCAGGGGGATAAAGGAGGATAAGTCTCACTGTGTTTTTCACGTGACCCTAATTTCTGTATCTGTTTGGGATTTCTCTGATCCTGCTTCCTTGACACATCACAAACCACCCATCTCCTGAAGACACAGCGTGGAAACCGCAGCCCGCTTTACAGCCACAGCAGCACACACGGGGACTCTGGCAATCCCAGCAATGTGGATCTAATTATAATTGCTCTTACTTTCCTACAACTCTGTTATCAGAAGAATGAAAGTAGCATCAAGTGGGATTTCAGAGTCAAAAGCCTCATGTAACATGAAGTACTGAGGATTTGGGTAATTTCATGCTGTTCAAGCTTTGATGCAAGTGGTGATACAGCAGACCTCTGAGAGGCTCTCTGCTTCTTTTGAGGAAATCTGTTTCATATGCAGCACAGTGTAAAGTTGAAGTACATGATTATTTTAATAATCCCAGCAACATGAGTGTCTCTCCTGCTCAAAGGAAAAACGAGACTAAAAGTACTGATGTGTTTATGAAACCACTAGTGCCAGAACAATGGTACAGAAATCCCACTTCAGAGAAATTCTGCAAGAGAGGTTAGGAACCAACCCATGGACACATCCAACAGAAGAGAATAAAAT